CAGATGGACAGGGTTAGATGGACAGGGTTAGACTGACAGGTTGACAGGGTTAGACTGACAGATGGACAGGGTTAGATGGACAGGGTTAGACTGACAGGTTGACAGGGTTAGACTGACAGGTGGACAGGGTTAGACTGACAGGTGGACAGGGTTAGACCCAGAGGTGGGAACATGACCTATGACTCTCCACCTGTGTTTTTAACTCTCCATCAGCCCACCTGGAGAGAGTCTCTGTCCTCGTTAGTGCGTAATGCTCGTCACGCCCTGTTACCACGACGACGCACTCAGAGAGATGCTGGTAGGAGGGTCCTACACTGGGTGGAGCAAGAGGAGACCCAAAACAGGTGAGACAGGTGTGGTGGGGACATTTGTTGGGTTAAATACTAAACTATGTATATTTTTTAGAGCTCCGCCCCCTTCTGATGCCTCAACAMAGTTGGCTGASTCAGCACAGAGTTCCCCATCAGATGATGTTACCCATTCGGTGCGTGCCTCTTCTCCTCCCTGCTCCTCTAAATCCCTTCAGACTGACGAGGAGCTGCAGAACGAGCAGGTGATGACCTCATAGTTTCAGGAGCAGCTTGATGACCTCATAGTTTCAGGAGCAGCTTGATGATGTCAGACGATGTAACATCAGGCATGTGTTTCCTCCTGAAGGCGGCGGCGGAGCTGCTGACTGAGGTCAGGAACCTGCAGAGAGACAAATGGTGAGACCAGGAACCACAAATACTGTATCTCAGTCATGAAGCCTGGTTAATGGTTGTTTGTTATTTTGTTTGTTTGTTTACGAGGTTGATGGAGCAACAGCTGCAAGCATGGCGACTCACCGTCCAATCAGAACAAGGTGTCCTRGAGGACCGATGCTCTGAGATGGAGGTTACCATGAAAACGCTCAGGCAGCACAATGACCGGCTGCAGGGTCTGCTCACACAGGTGACAACATGGATGTAAAGATGGGCCGAGAAGCTCCAAGTATCTAAATCACTAAAACTTTTMTAGCCACATACACACACATACACGTGTTTGTTTTTATATCCCCGTGGGGACCAGATTGACTACTGTTCATTTTGTTTTAGTAATATTATAGCCTAAACCTGACTATTTACCCTGAAATTACCCTCACAGGTACCTACTTGACCCTAGCCTGGCCCTTGCCTTCCTACGCAGTTCTGCTCAATTCTAGTTTCCTTTCACTGCTCCGTCTGGGACTTCTCCCACAGACAAGGATTTCTTCAGGAGAATTTTCGTTCGGGCCAATCAGACAACAGAAGGCGGCGTTTTAAACGATAACGTCGATTTACTGCGAAGTGTCTGCTTCTACTTTATTTTAGCCACTCCGTGATGTTAAGGCTTCTAAATTAAACTAAATTTTTCTGACAAAGCAGCAGCTCTCATTCACAGCTGTCTCGTTCGGCTCGGTACTTCTCTCCTCTCAGTAGGGTTGTTTACAGCGCACGCGATTTCTGGTTAGCTTCTTAGCTTAGTCTCCTTCACAGTGGAGGTGTCAAACACATACGTCGCGGCCAACCGATCCAATCGTTTTAAACTTCAGCAGAGGCCACGCCTCCAGCTAGAATCACTTCTCTTTAGCCGAGAGTCCAGACCCTCGTACGAAGCAAAGCGAAGGACATGGGGCTGGTTTTAACCAGGCTAGCTTGACCCTAAAACTAACCTAAACTCAATTCATACCTTGGTCCTAAACCAAACCCCCCACCTGAATTTGGCATCCATACCCGTTGAGACAGGACATTGGTCCCCACGAGGCTGCCTGTTTCTGGAAAATGGTTCCCACGATGTAGCAAAAACGTGCCCACACTCACACACGTTTGTTCTTCTATCCTCATGGGGGCTCTGCAATGACTTCCAATCATTGACCGGCCATTTCTATAGCTTAACCCTGACCCCTTACCCTAAAACTAACCTAACAGGTACATACCTGACMCAAAACCTATCCTTAACTCAATTTACAAGTTAGTCCTAAACCGAAACCCTGACCCAACAATGGTATTTCCCYYAAAGGGGACTGAGCTTTTGTCCSCATAAGGAGCAGTAGGTTCKCACYAGGCTGTGTRCCAGGAAAAATGGTCAAACATMATTCCTATCAGCAAGAACATGCACACACAAWCACACRCATAACTGTTTGTATATAGGGCATTCCATTGWCTTCTATGAATTTCTACAMTCTAACCTTGACCATTGGYCRGTGTCCTGCATGTTTTTGGTGCTGATGGTTCAACACAGCTGRACCTACGTAGTGCTTATTTAGTAGGCCTTTTCAGTATGCCATCAAGGTCTGCAGAGGTCTACTAATTAGTTCAGCTGTGTTGAACCAGRGCAGCTCCTAAAACATGCAGGACACCGGCCCTTGAGGACTGACTTTAAACACCACTGCCCTAAAACCTCACAGGTACATACCTGACCCTAACCCTAACCCTAACCTAGACTCAATTCACATCTTGGTTCTGAACCGAATCTCCATCCGACCAAT